TTGCTTCTAAGTTTAAGAGAAGGGGAATTATTCTAAAAAAGTTCTTGAGATCATTCTGAAGAAATTCTGTATTAATTTCATAGCAAATTATCAAAGTTATCTACCTAGATATATCAAATATTTAGAGATTTCGGACGCAGAATCAAATTCAATATCATAAAAATATGAATTACTATTTGCTAGTCATCATGTATAACGTAAGCAAAAGTAAATTATTCAAATCATTTCAAATGCTCTTCACAGGGGTTTCCGTTGTGAGATTCGATTAAGTTAGAGGAATTTATGAAATTTGATACTGAGTTCCATGACATAAAAAGTTTATTTCGATATCAAACCGTATTTGAATTTCTATGTTACCATATAAATGGTTACTTATTTAGTATTTACAAGTCACTATTTGGTCACTATTTCCGTAATTTTAGTCACTAAAGTCACTACTATTATATCGCATCAGCGCTACCAGCCCTGTGATCTCTCTGTCGAGATGCCTGATAGTTGTTTATAACTGCAACGAAACATAAAAAGAGGGGCTTGGGAAGGGACACCGATGAGAAAACAGAAACTAAAATTAATACACGAACAGACAAATCACTATCACACTCTCAAACGCTAGTAATTTTAAACGTTAAAGTTGATGATCGACGAAAGCATTGGCAATTTAGAAGCTAGTTGTTTCAAAAGAGTATTCAACATTGGAATCATCAAAACAATAATGTTCCCCATGTAGTCAGACTCATTTAATATTTACGGGAATGCCATCTACAATTCCAGAAAACGTGAACATGGCTGCATGTTGTTCTGGCTGTGGAACTGGAATATCCGGAGCCTTGGAAGAAGCTGGAAACCACGGAAGTCCCTATCAACATCAAATGGTTTGAAACTCGGTGAAGGGGCTTTCGGAACATTACCGCTACTTTCTGGTTTCTTCAAGATGACTCGAGGTTCAATACGAGAGGCCTCCTGAGGCTGTTGCGTGATAATTATGGATCGCTTCCTAGGTGGGGCTTTGAAAACAAAATTACTTCCCTCACCAACACTAGGGTCAGAGCCCTGATCATCAACCGAGAGAAGGTCGAAGGGGTTACTACACGGAGGAACTCGGGAAGATGGAGTAACTAATCTTAGGATTTCCGCGAAGAAACGCTGCGCGCGAGCCTTCAAAGTCCGCTGCAGTTTTCTACCTGCTGTTTGTATCTTGGAAAATCAGTGAGAGCATGTGGAATTTCCAAAACATAACGACATTTTGGGGAGGCACGACAAGAACCCTCCGTATGTTTCTCCTCACATTGATCACAGCGTGGCTTGTTGCCACAGAAAGCCGCAGTGTGTCCTAGTCGCTTACATTTTGTGCAGTTCATTACCTTTGGTACTAACAAGCGCACAGGTAATCGGATCATCCCTATAGCGACGTAATCTGGTAGTACTTACCCAGCGAAGGTCACACGAAACGAGTCCGAAAGCGTATGAGTTTTCTTCGTTCCAACGACGGACACTGAATGCATTTGAATGCAGTTTAGTATTTTAATTTTCGGGAGGTGAGGGTTCTTGAAGACACCAACCCCGCCTTTCAGGAAATCATCGCGAGTTATACTCGCTTCGGTAACAACTCCCTCGATTTCAACTTCTTTACTTGAAATATACAATCGGTATTCCAAAAAAAAACTCAAATAGGGAAAATGGCTCTAATGTTGGCCTATGGATCTAACATTGGGCCCATCGCTAAAAATCTGCTATTTATCAATTTTATCTAGATGAACGCGTCATTGGGATGGTACTTATGGATATTTTTGATCGCTATTGAAAATTTAGTCGATTGCTGAATTTATGTATGGGCCCAAATTAGGGACACTTAGGCCGACATTACATACATTTGCCCTACAACAATTTTGTTGATCGATCGCTAACGGTAACACGCAGTTTATTGGGTCTTACTTTCAAAATCTCTGTCACGGCTGATTTTTTTAAACAGATTCTTTGAAATCCGATGAACATTCAAAGGCTTTTGTTTGCGTCGGACAAACCACGGGCTTTTCGAGTCTTCTTGGTAAGCCTTAGCGTGGGGGGCAGGTGACGTTCTCGGGGAAACGGGTGGAGCACCTTAACCTTTGGATATGCTACGGTGTACTTATTGGTGGCTGACCCATCACCATCAGAGGTATTCAGCGCCTCAGAAGAAGGAAAATCCAGCAGAGAATCATCGTCGGAGAGTGAGATCCCCCCGCCATCATCTAAAAAAACATATCAACCGGAAAAATGCATAAGGCCCTATAGATTATCCGTATCGACTTTCTCTTTCATTAATAACTTGATTACAAAACCGTTTCTTGCCAGGTTTGTCATATTAGATGCTGGATTTTAGCTACTTTCATCGAACTGTGTGTTGAAAATAGCTTGGAAATGTATTTACGTGGCCGTGAGGATGCACAGATAAAACCAACAAAAAGGATCTGTCCTAAGAAGAAAACCTAATCCATTGTTCGGTTTAATTTATTCGTTGAATCTCATACTTTCCAAATTTAAGCCTAATGACCCATTTAGTATAATAGCATTCAGAGTAGAGGCTTTCGAAATATGTATGTGATTCTGGTCCATAGAATATAACTTAAATTCTTAGCCATCGAATAAATTGTACATTTTTCAGAAGTTTTCTGATCATCTTATCCTTTTCAAAATTCTCTAAACTTCTTTGAAGTTCTAATCGTAGGTTTTTCTGAACTTCCCTAAAGTTCCCTTGATGGGAATTTCTCAGGTTCTCCTTTCTTTCTTTGAAGATCTCCAAAACTCTTCTGAGTTTTCCTAAACTACAATGAAATTCATTGAACTTCTTTGAATTTTGCAGCAAATTTCTGTAAAATCCAATGATTTTCGTAAAAATGTAGGAAATTTAGGAAAAATCCTGGGGGTAAGACAGCTTTCGATTATGAACTCGGAAACTCGGAGTTAATTTTAAGTAACTCTGAGTAACTCGCGTTGCTCAATATCTTATACACATAGTAACCTGATTGTTGTATTGAAAACAATGTTGAAACGGATGCTGTCAAGCAAAGTGCTTTCCAGTTTTCAATGATGAACCTCAATGTAAGTATCAATTAAAATTGGAAACTTATAATCTATTTCAATTATTAAACTTTTCGACATAAGAATGGTGTTGTTCGAACTATGTTTAAAGATTCAGATATTATCCTAATATTCCAAAAGTGCAGAGTTTTAAATTATCATTTCACTTACACAGGATTACTTTTAGGAAAAAATCCAATGAGACGTTGAAAATGTAGCAGCTAGTATTTGCAGACCGTCACTAGATCGTCGGCATCAGCAGCAAGGTACCGAAGAAAATCCCACACCAACAGTATATTGCCCAATAAAACTAACCTATAGATCAAAATAGACAGTCTTTCCATAGTAAATATCATAGTTTCCCTGCCAAACCATATCTTTCAGTTCAAACTCCGCAAGAATCTCTATTCAGGTGACCGTACACTGCATATCTTGTTCACGAAGTCCCTTGGACTACTAAGTAATAAGCCAACCCTTTTACTACTGCACTTGCCGGTACAAACGAATAGTTACACGTTATTGAAACTTTTAAACATAGTTGTACTTGTGACGATATACCTCAATATTGATGTTCGATTTCCTCATGTCCGAAATTAGTTCAACAAGATGAGAGGGATCTTTTATAGCCTGTGCGAGATATGCTATTTCTGTTCACAGGGCAGAAATTTCTCAAATCTCTGGTCGTGTACCAACAGGTACAGTCCTGAAATAACACCACCGCATCATCAAAAATCTTCAACGACAATACTTTAACCAATCGATCCCTGGTCTGCCTTGGATCTTTCAATATTTAAAACTGGGTTTTTTTTTTAGAAAACCAAATATGCTGTCAGTCGATATTTTCTTTGATCAGAAAATCGAGACTTCTTTGATCATTTTTGAGTAAATTTGAGTAACTTAAATTTACTCGCTGCAAATATATTTACTCTGAGTACAGCTGTCTTGCCCCTAGGAAAAATCCGTTAGATTTCTCCAAAGTGTACATATTTATTCGAAATACTCTAAACTTCCCTGATGTTCTCTGAAAACTTCTGAGATGATCAGTATGAATAAAACTGTGAAGTTTCAGGAACTTTTGAATGGTTTGACGAACATCTAAACCCTAATAGGTTGAGCATACATCTAAACCCTGCTTTAGAAAACATCTGTAAACTTAAAAAGTTGTTTAGAATACTTTGGAGAGGTTCAAAGAGCTTTTGTACAGTGTCCAGTATCATGTGTTTCGGATGAACTCAATACACTTTGAGTAGTGTTCAGTGAACTCCTTTAGAAGGTTCTGGATGTTCAAGAGTATTGGAAATTGTCAAATACATTCTTAAATTTCCAGAAACATTCCGAAAATTTTGGAGGCTTAAAAAAATCAAGGTAATCAACAAAAAATCATGTTTATAAACAGACAACTAAACAGGTATTATATGAACTGTTAACATATAAAGAGATGGAAAAAGATAATTAGAACAATAAACAACATCCACATAATTGAAAAGATAAACGTCAAATCCTTAAATGATTATTTAAATATAATGTTTTCCTTCGAATGAGTCATGCAGAAGAACAGCTAACGTAGCATGCACAGGTCAATAAACGATGTTTATAACATTATCCAAAATCATCTCTAAAAATAGAATAGCGAATTCTCCGTCATTAGCACCAGAACGTCAATAATATTACTTAACCCCCCTAAAATGTTTTTAATTTATCGTCTTGACACATTTGACTAAATTAAAAATAAATTCCCAAGTCAATGACCATAAAGTTCGCACATTTAACCGTGCTGGAAAAGATTCACGTTTTGCATCTGTGCAACTGCCTCCGTTAGAGCAAGCATCACTACTATAAATCTGTCTGGCTGCAAGTAGTAATTTTACTCTCCCGTCCGTCGGTTTGCGCCATCAAAATATGTTTTCGCAGATGTTTATTTATCTATTTCTGTCTACTTCCAGGACAGACTATAACCAGCATCAACAATAGCAACCGCGAGCCGCAGGAACAGTAATGGGGAATCGTCGTGAGTTCGATATGCTAATCATTTGTGGTTGCTATTCGACAACGCTCGATCTAGTGAAGTTGCCGTCATCACGCATTTGCTGTGGTATTGGTATTGGCCTATTCTAGTGATTTTCTAGACCGCTGCTGAGCAAATAGTTTTTTTTTCTTTGCGGAAACCAGAACGTACCAGAGAAAAGGCAAACAGCTTTCGCATAAATCATGATAGTGTGAAAACAAAAGAATACCATTTCGAAAAGTGTGTAAAGGAATCAAAGTGAAGTGCAGGGAGAAAGGCGAGTTGAGTGATCGCAGTTATCATCAATGGTGGAAGTAAGTGCTGCAGAAAGCGAGATATAAGCCAAAGTGCACACAGCCAGGAAGTTCGATAAGTGAATTTTGCAAAACGAAAATGTGGTCAATTAGTGGCCTATTGATGGCCTTTCTGTGCGCGTGCTGCCTTTTGGCGGCCTCAGCCAGTGGGAAACTGGGCCGGGATGATGTGGATATCGAAGAGATGCAACGCGATGACCCGTTCGGTTATCAGAGGGACGACGATGCTGATTCGGGTGAGATTCGGATTGCCCAGCCACTGCGCCATCGCAATGGGCGTATGCGGATTGGTCAGCTTCGTCGCGGTGGACATCGAACGAGACACTCTAAGCATGGTGAGTCTGCTTTTCTTTTCCATTTTTTGTCGATTCCTTCGGATCTTTCGGAAGCTGTGAAATTATGAGAGTCGTAAAATGTAAAGGGCACTTTTGGGTTATTAATTTGGGAGATAAGTTAGTAGGGGGACTATCGTGCCGCTTATTGCCGTTCATTTGCATAACGATCAAGGTCAGGTGTATCGGAGCGTGGTTGTTCGCGATGTTTCGTGATTCTTCATTTTGTGTGTTGGCAAGCATGAAGGCGCTAATGCATTCACAAATCAACGGGAAATGGTATTTTCGTCGTTCGATGATACGACATGATCGGTGTATTAAGTGTTGACGGAAAAATCGAATAGGTGTCAATGACTTTTAATCAACGATCGTACCTTTGGATTTAAGGTGAAAGGAAACGTCATAAGTGTCAGTCAGTTTTATCATTCAAAACAAAAATTACGTTCATGGAAATGTGATCATTGCGTTCTATTTACCTACCGGAACAAAGTGAACACATTTTCATTAACAGAATTTTGGTCTTAAACGAAACAAAAAACTGGTTTTGAATTTCCAGAAATTAATGACATCACTTTTTTTTTCCTTAACTTGTATTGCACATTATTTTATGATTTTAGCAATGAGCGAATTTTCGACATGCTAAATGATATTTTCTATCCGTTTCCCATGCATTTCACTAAATCAACCTTAAAATTCTCTCTCCTGTAAATCCAAAACGTCACCAAAATCGTTCAAATTTAACACAGTTGTTGGGTTTATTTTATTTACTTTACGTTCAATATAATTCAATAGCTGATTTTAATCATTGGAATGATTGTTGTCCTTAACTTGAAAGTAACCATTTTCATTGAACAAAGTGTCAGTCAATATTTTTTTTTAATATTGTTAAAAGTTTCCTACGTTAGAAAATTAATGACTTTCTGTGAATGACTTAAAAAATGCCTTCATTTATGCACAACTGCATTTAAATGAGTGCTTTCCAAAATATCTACTGAAAATACATTTCGTCTAAGGATTAAGAGAACCCAAATTAAACAAAAAATATCTCATAGAAAGTCATTCGAAAGCCATATCAATTTCACCCAATAATTGAGATATCAAAAATGTCCAAAAACTAAATAAAACACTCAATATAATAATCAGTCATACGAAACGTTACCATCATAGATCTTAATTTAGATTTTATATGCCATAAGTTTGTCAATTTTCTTAAATCAAGAATTGATTTCCATATTTATGATTAATGTGATTGATCAATTTGCTCAATTTAGAGTTACGTTTATTCTCTCTGGTTCAATGCTACATAAAAACAATACATATTAGTAAAAATAATTAGAAACATCCATGAAGCAGCTTTAATGTGTACGTCAATGCTTCAAACTCAATCCTCTTTTGAACAATACTTTTGATGTTCAGAAAACTAAAAGAACTCAGTCATTCATCAGTTATTAATGTGCTTATCGACCTTAATTTACAATTGATCAAAGCTAATTTGCTGAAAGATATTTTACCTCAACTCAAAAATTGGCAGTAACCTACGTATAAATTAAATCAAACGATAAGAACCAAACTTTATGATTGAACATAAAATGAAAATGATTTGTTTCAGCAGAAATAATGTGCTATATAAAAAAAAATACAACAAATATTTGCTCAGCCTCCGGGGCTGTTGCCCCTTTGATATCTCCTCAAATTCGACCCTGGCCACTGGTACGTACGGCTTCGGTTTGTCCTGTTTTTATGTTTAGTTACTTAGCTGCTTTCGGGCAGGAATTCATACGGTGCCTCTCCATCTTGCACATGAAACACTTGTTCCTGATCCCGTCTTAGAAAATGTTTCTCTTCCGATTGAGGAAATGAATCGTGGATGGTATCTCCTTCTTCACGTCCATGTTTTTTTCAAACATGTTACTTTACAAATATCACTGCAATCAATATCTCTTCAATAAAAAGCGAAAACTATTAGTGGAAGACATGGTTGCAATATGACACACCATCGACTGGAAATGCTTTTGGCAACGTGGGGCTTTAGGTAGTGATGAAACGTCGCTAGAACTATTCCACAGCCACACGCAGTATTTGAGCAAAGGCAGACGCACAATTTTTGCCTGTAGATTTGAAGACATACTTCAAATCTTCGCGTACATCGTACGGGTTAGGCAAAAAGTGTACGTTTGACTTTGTACTGTCGCATCAATGGCCCTTCGCTCATTTTCAACTTGTATTCAATTTTCATACTGCCGTACTCGAACGGAACTATCTACCTACCCTCTTCTAAGATCATTCTCTAGCTAACAAATTATCACACTAAAGCTTCATGTTAGATAGCATTTCCAACCAACTCTGAAAATCGCAAATGTCACGTATGAAGTAACATAAAAAACACGTTGAAAACAAAATTTTCGACTTTTGTGACTTTTGTGAACTTTATTCCAGGATGGTCTAAAAATAATCAGAAGTTCACATAGTAGAGATGAACCAGCCTAAGGCTGAAAGTCTCGTTAATAAAGGAAAAAAAAAAACAAATCGTAAGTTCAAATTTGCTATCCAATAAAATGGTAGATCTCTACCAAGACAAAGTTTTCGAACATAATTTTGTAAGTTGTTAGAGATAAATAGATAAGATGAGATGAGGAATTGGGAATGTCTTCGATAAAATAATAAATCTTTAAGTATTGAAATTTCACCAAATTGTAGATTATTAATTTCCAATTCATGCAAAAAAAACGCGCAACATCATTATAATTATAAGTTTATTGAAAATTTGAATAAATTAGCGATACTACAGATGATTTATCATTTTGCTTTGCTTAATTGTCAGAGTCTCAACATAATGTAAAATTTTCTAAATGCTAAATCGTTTAGAGCTGATAACATGAACAACACACTGCAAAAAAATAACTTTGATATCACATCAAAGTAGATGCACTTCAATCGTGTCCAAAATATGGTGTAATATTACTTTCCAAAAAGGAAAAAAATATCATAAATACAGTGCATAAACTGACATTACGTTGCTTTTACTGCATTGTAGTGCATCCTCTTGGATGTAATATTAAAATTTATTTTTTGCTGTGCAATAAAAGGACTATTATTGCAAGATTATGATTCTTTTATAAGCCTTAGTTAAAAAAAATAAGTTCGAAATGCTCAACAATTACCGAAGACTCGTTTTCATCACTACCTAAAGCCCCACGTTGCGAGAGCATTTCCAGTCGATGGTGTGTTATAATGCAGTTCTTCTTTACCCAACTCTCTGAGATGATCACGTTGGTCATGACGAGAGGAGCAACACAATAGTTGGGTAAAGAAGAACTGCATTATAACACACCATCGACTGGAAATGCTCTCGCAACGTGGGGCTTTAGGTAGTGATGAAAACGTCGCTAGAACTATTCCACAGCCGCAGTCAGTTTATGAGCAATAAGAGGGACGCACATTTTCGCCTGTGGACTTGGAGACATACTTCAAGTCCCCGCGTACATCGTACGGGTTAGGCAAAAATGTGCGTCTATCTTGAAAAACTGTCGCATTAATGGCCCTTCGCTCATTTTCAACTTCTATTCAATTTTCATACTGCCGTACTCTAACGGAACTATCCACCTACCCTCTTCTAAAGATCATTCTCTAGCTAATAAATCATCACATTAAAGCTTCATGTTAGCATTTCCAACCAACTCTGAAAATCGTTAACTTCGCGTATGAAGTAACATAAAGTAGTGGAAAATCAGAGGATTGTAAGACTTAAAACCAACTTAATTTTAATACGACTAGAAAAAACTTGGAACTTGAAGACAATCCCTAGAGTTTTGAAAGGTTCTGCACCCTGGATACATTATTTATAAACATGTTGTATTTTTATACAAATTCATGAAGTACCGATGACATATGCGGAAGTATGACTGAAAATTCAGTTTTGGTTAAACGACGAACGCCCTAGTAATCCATACGGTATAATGGCGTTCGGTATGAAGATGTTCAGCTAATCGGCGTCTTACCTAATTCTCCATAACATAAATTTTGTTTGCCCCCCAATTTGAAAACTGGCTACGCCCTTGTAATTATGACCTTACCTTATTATCAGCTAAATATGAAAAGAGTGTCAAGGCAATTCTGAAAAGTTTACCAAGAAAAATAACAAGAATATTCTAATGGAATTTTACAGAGAAAAATGGAAACAACAGTATGCAAATTTTGGGAATTCTAACCAGTTAAAAGAAATCTGGAATTATAGAGTATAAGATTTCTAGAGATAAAGCGTACTCAGAATGGTCTATACACAGCAAAAAATAAATTGTAATAGTGCATCCAACAGGATGCACTCCAATCATGTGGAAAATCTCATGTAATTTTTATGGCCACAAAAATAAACTAAGCAGCGTAATGTCAGTTCATGCACTGTGTTAATGATAATTTTGTTCTTTTTGGCAAGTAATATTACACTATACTTTCGACACGATCGAAGTGCATCCACTTTGATGTGATATCAAAATTATTTTGTTGTGTATCTCTAGAATATGTTTGAACAAGTTTGTAGATTTTACAGATTATTATAGGGAAATTCAGACATGAAGGATGATGTAATTTTAGGACGATTGAAAAGAAAATCCTGATAAAAGTTCGAATATTTCCTGTAAGAACTCTTCAATTTAGGAAATTCAGACTAACAAAAACCTTTAAGGGTGTTAAGATCAAAATTTGGTCGAATTGACGCATTTCTTTTAATCGAGCATTTTAAGAACCTTCTAGCTGGCTATCTCCTTCTTCTTCTTTCTTCTGGCGGTATTTATTTAGTGTGCTGTATGACGAATGGTGTTCATTTTGTGTGTACTACAAACAAACTGTTTGGCGTTACCGGCGCTCACGTGGATTGGAGAGGGTAACGGCTGACTAAACAGCGGCCTCCTGAAATACCTAATCTTACACGTGACGGAATCCATCTTTGACATAAAGGATGAGACGTAAACAAACATGTCATGTAAAATTAAGTGCTCCGAGACTGA